TTCTACAGTGGAAGCATTCCAAGTTGTATCTCATCACGGGGGACTATGGGAAAAAAAGGGGTGACATCTGCTGTGCTACTAGCAAAGCTTTGAGAAAAGAACCTGATCAGCTGGATGTTGGGTTCCTGCTTTACGTGGTTCCTGGCAATTTTCCTTTAAAAGTTTTCGAACAGTCGTTTCGTACCTGGATCTCCGGCATCAAGCTGGGCGGACAGTAGTCTCTTGATATTGCTTTAGTGAGTTTAGTGCATGAACTTTGGCACGGAATGTTAGTGGCTCAGCATGGCCCTGTTTGCCACATCTGCTCAGTAAGCGTTCTAAATTTGCCCCTGGTCCGTCCATTCTTCAAAAGGCAATATAAAGTGTGCAAAAACAACATGCCTTGATGCCATGATAGGTGGTCATTCTAAGTTTCTTCTCGTAGGGAAGTGTTGCAAAAAAAGATGACAACTGCTGTCCTGCTATGCAAAGCATTGAGAAACGAACCTGTTCAGCTGGGTATTGGCATTGCGGTTCCTTTTAGATTTCCTTTGGCAAGCTTTCTTTCGGAGGTATTCTATGTTTACTTCTTTTTCTTGGCTTTGTGTTTCCTTGCGGTTTTCCTTTCCAAGTTTTCGAACATGTTGTTTTCCATTCTAGATCTCCGGCATGAAACTTGAAGACCATTGCTACATTGAAATTGTTGTAATGCATGAACCTTGGCACGGAATGCTGCTCAGCAAAGTATGTTTTGTCACATCTTCTGCGTAGGCATTCAAAGTTTGCCTCTGTCCCATCACTTTTGCGTGGAAAACCATGGAAAAAAGGGCCAAAAAAACATATAAGCTGTGCAAAACCAACATGTCTTGATGCAGTGATAGGTGGTCATTCTAAGTTTCTTCTTGTCACAGGGGAGTGTTGCAAAAATGGATGCCCTGCTTTGCAGAGCTTTGAGAAACGAGCCTGTTCAGCTCGGTTTTGGTTTCGTTTTTTTTGTGACTGGCTTTGTGGTTCCTGGCAATTTTTCTTTCAAAACCTTCGAACATCTTCAAACAATGTTTTCTTACCTGGATCTCCAGCATCAGGTTTCAAGACCACCACTACAGACACTAGTCTTTTGACATTGGTTTAGTGCATGAACTTTGGCACGGAATGTTAGTGGCTCAGCATGCCCCTTTTTGTAACATTTGCTCTGCATAAGCATTCTAAATTTACCTCTGGCCCGTCCGTTCTTCACGAGACGATATAAAGCATGAAAAAATAACATGCCTTGATGCCATGATAGGCGGTCATTCTAAGTTTCTTCTCCTCACAGGGGAGTGTTGCAAAAAGAAGCTTCTTTTCGTAGGCATACTATGTGTAGCTCTGGTTTTTTGATTGGCAAAAAGAGATGACAAATGCTGTCCTGCAATGCACAGTCCTGAAATGGGCTCCGGCGTTTTACTGGTGTTGCAAAATTCCCTTCGTTTTTTTTGATAGGCATTCTTTGTTTACCTCTGGTTTTTACTGGTTTTGTGTTTCCTTGCGGTTTTCCTGTCATAGCTTTCGAACAAGTGTTTTCGTACCTAGATCTCTGGCATCAAAACTTCAAGACCATTGCTACAAACAATTGTTTTTTTGAGAAAGTTTTAATGCATGAAGCGGAATTTTAGTGGCTTGGCATGGTCTTTTTTTGCCACATGTGCTGTGCAAACAGTCTAAAGTTATTTACAACCAATCCTTTCTGTGTGGAGAACCTTGAAAAAAAAACGACAAAACGTGGGCAAGTGTAGCATACCAGGATTCTACCTTGAAATGTAGGGTTTCCTGCGTTTTTTCTACATTTTTTTTGCACTTAATCACGTTTGGGATGGCATTTTTTGTATGATGTCCAGTCATTCTAAGTTTGGGATAGCGGTTTTTGGTGTGATGACCGGTCATTCTAACTGCCCTCATTCTAAGTCAAGGGTTAAAATTTTGGAAACCGGACCACCCACTCTAAGTTTCAGTCCGTAACTATAGATGATATTATTAATTACTGGAACTAATTATTAGTATATTATGTTAGCACACATTATTCATGAATTGTCCTGCGAGGTGACTATGTACGTAGAAGGACTTGGACCATTCCCAGGTCCTCAGCTTAGCTAAACCTTGACCTGGGAACCCTTCATGGTTTGCTCGCCAAACCACACACTGTAAAACAGTATAACACACCGTAACACCATACATATCTGTGATGAAATATCACATTGGAACCTCTGATCATTCTTGTGATCAGAACCTCGAGGCCTTTTTGTTTTGGCATTGCCCAGTTGAGCCTGTAATTTCAGGACCACCTCCTGACTTCAGCGGCGATTGGGACTACATCCCACCAGACCCGGAGGATTTTGCAATGGAATGATTCCTGTAACATTTGTAACATGATACCTGCGGTCATTCCACACATTTCCACACCCTTGTATGGTTGATGCTGTACTCAGTACACCTGATTGGATGTGGGGGGATCACCCGAGATGCAGAGCACATGAAAAGTTGAGATGCTGCACTTGGTGCCTTAAACCCAAGTATCTCTTGCTGAATTTCTGTGCCTCTCAACAATTTTCCGGGATTTTCATTGTTGTTTTCAATTTCCCAAATTGGTGCGTAATTTTCTCATTGGATCCACGCTGGCGATCAGCTAACAAAAGTTGCAAAAGCGGCTTAGTAGTTTATTTTATCCTTTGGACAAATGCAACAATGACAGCAAAGGCAACGACAAGCTCTGCAGTAGAAGAAGAAGAGGAAGAAGAGGAAGAACAGGAGGAGGAAGAAGAAGAAGAAACAAAAAGTGGTCGGAAGATGTCGAACGAGTATTTCCAGTTCAAAGATTAGCAGCAGCACTCACTCTAAATAGATGCGTGCTAGCAGAGCCACTAGCATTTCCTGCAGGTTTCATAGAGATGCGGTTTCAAACATGAAAGATAACATGCTGGCTTTCAGACCATTTAGATAAACAAGAAGCGGCACACCCTCAACCACGATTTATCAACCAATGACAGAAGAAGACAGGTTGACGAACCAGCATACATATGATACGTGTTATTTATATACGTATATATATATATACATACGTACGTATAGATAGATAATATGTATATTGTATATAATATTATATAATCATTGTGGGAATCCTGTCTGCTTGCCTCACATTTGCATAATCTTCTCAAGTGGCTGTCTCTTCCAGGATGAAGATTTCGATCCTGATGCTCCGCTGCCACCTGTGCCACCAGACCCACCACAGGACTGGTGGCTTGAGGCCGTCACAAGATTGTACTCGGTTTGCACTGAGATTACCCAGGAAACCCTTTTTTGGCGATCCAAAATCCATCAAAATCATTGAAATCCTTTCTGACTTGATCTTGAAGTCTCGACGATTTTTGCCATGATCAGACACTGAGTGTTTGGAGTTTTGATTATGTGAGCGACAAGGAGTTGATGGCTCTCCAACCGGATGGGGCTATTCAGTGGCCAGAGGCCATGCCAGGGTGATAGCTCGTTACGGCAAGTTTCTTGGTCTCAGGGTGATCGATCAGAGGCCTCCGACGCACGTATGTGAAGAATTGCGAAGATAAGATAGATAGCTTAGTTTTCTCCAAAGCAAACTTTCATGTTCTCTTGTATCATGTTGTATCCTTCTGCTGGGAGCGAGATACCTTTCAAAGTTCAGAGCTTGCTGCAGGTTACAACTCGCGCTGCTTGTGACTCAGCACCCAAGAAAACAGCCTGAAATGGCCTGAACAACTTGCCCTTTCTACAGTGAAACAGGCTAGCAGCGGCTAGCGCTGGTCACGGGCGGTTGCCGCGATATGCAGTCACACTTTCCTCTCTGGCTTGAATCATACAGTCCATTGACGGTAGCCCTTTTTATCACCCCAAAATAGGCTTTCAAAGCGTTTGTCTTCAACCGTGGACAATGCGGGATCGCTTTGTGGCATTTCCCAAGGTGGCTGCGGGGCCCGAATGAGCATCCTCTGGTACAGCGGTGAATAAAACAGCTGTCTGCTTTGCCCTGCCAAATTAACCACATTGGTCGAGGTACTTGTCACATTTAATCGAGAGGAATCAATGAATCTACAAAGTCAGCTTTCTGTTTGTTGATGCTTCTGACAGGGTCCTGACAAGCATCATTGGGAGCATTCTGCATGCATTTTGATGGCATTGTCCAACATGTTCGAACAAAGTTCAAAGTTTGATCAATTCGGATCAATTTGGCAGCTTTTTCGTATTTTTTTGTCGTCTCCATTCTGAACCTCTCAGTCTTTTGCTGAAGCCACAGCCTCTGCAGCCCATTTTTGCAGACCGAGTCTTGAGGGACCAAGCCGTGCCTGTGACGATGACGACTCTGGGCTGAGAAGAGCTGTGAAGTGCAGAACGGTGCAGAGAGGATGTTGGGAGATGTTGGGAGATGTTGGGAGATGTTGGGAGATGTTGGGAGATGCTTAACGCAGAGAGGTGCTCTTGAAATTTTTGGGAATTCATCCAGCTTAGGTTCTTGTTCAGAGTTTTTCAAACACAAGGCATTTCTTCCCGATCAAGAAAAAGATTGACCCAAGAGATCCAAGAGATCAGGCTGCTATGATCTGCTATTTTACTAAGGAGGCGTTCGCCATTGGCTTTGGTGTTGCTGGCCACTTTGGCTTGGAGACCCAAGAGATTGATGCATGCAGATTGTGATCGGGTGATTGATCGTGAAGTCTGTGGACATCTATGGACTCCCAAATGCGAAACTTTCAAGATTTGACTCAGCGTGAAGTGAAAATGTGGCATCACCCTCAGCCTCAAGTTTCATAGAGCCATGAATGAGACTCTCAAGTGGGAATGCTCACAGGAATGCTGACACTTGTACTGAGCAGCTTGCATGGCAGAACTACTGAATTCGCACGCATTTCCGCAACGAAATATTCTCCACGATGAAATGAGGTTTGCCAAGTTCTAACTGGTATGGAATTGATTTGAGCCATGTTAAGAAATAATCCCGGCACTTGAAAAGCCTGGCATCTTGTGTCCAGTCTTGCCTGCATCAACTTCAACTTTCTGATCAGTTGAATGAAGCCATGTCGACCGGCAGCCTTGTCCATTCCTGCTCAGCCAGTGCAAGGTGGCTTGAAAGGCCTGTTCGAGCCAGGCTTGGGTCACGTTTGGTCATGTTGGGTCAGAAACCAGTTAGGTTCACGGTGGTAGCGCGATAGACTTGACGTTTGTCAGGACCTATGTAGACGACGTGTGGTCGTTTGCAGTGTTTGCAGGTCTTTCAGGAGGCCCATGGCACCCATGGCACCCATGGCAGTGGCAGCCTTGGCGCGATGGCGTGATGGCCATGGCGGTGGTGAGGGCGGCGAGGGCGGCGAGGGCGGTGCAGGTTGCGCAGCGTGCGCATTCCAGGCCCATGGAAGTGCCTGCAGCGCGACGGCTGCGAATGCTGCAGCGGCCCAAGGCGCAGAAAACGCAGACGCAGCCAGACTCGCCTGACGTCCCGAGAAAGGGAGGGACAAAACATATGGTGCCCTTAAGCTGAAAACTGGAGAGAAAAATGATTGGAGTCTGAGAGTTAATTTTGCAGAGGAGGGAAGAAAGGCAACACAAGCGACAAAGATGTTGAAGTAAATGAGACCTATGCGATTGATGAATTGCTATCCCATAACACGCATCTCTAGAATCCCTTCGAAAAGGACGAGCTTGGATTTTCCACTCCGCCTCAATGCTTGCAGGAAGATCTCAGGCAGGCCACGGCCTTTTCCAGCATGGGGCTCAGCTCTTCTACAAGTTCCCACCTAGCTTTTGGAAGAAGTTTCCTGATTATCCTGATTGGCTTTGTTTACCATGACTTACAGACTCTTCACACGAATCCATGTCGTGTAAAAAAGCAGAAAACAACTAACTCAGAAGCTAGTTCAAGGATGTTCAAGGAATCAAAGGGCAACCAATCAAAAAGTGTATGAAAGTGTCCTTCGTGAGGTGACCTTTTGACATCTTTTGACCTTCTCGTCATGTGTAGTGCCATTTCGTAATTTTCTCAACTTGTTCAATGATTTGGCGGGGTGAAATCTGATTTTGGCTTTCTTTCGGCCTCTTTGATTTCGACATGTCTATCCTCGTTGTTTTTTTTTTTAATTGTTTTTACATATATGTTTTAAACTGTCATTTGATCATTTCCGCATGTTTGGGCTATGCTTGGTGTTGGAGAACGTTACACGTCAATGTTTCCAGCCGTGCGCTGTCCAAGGAGTCTCAAAGTTTCTAAGCATGCCCGCAGAACCTGCAGAAACAACAGAGGCTGGAGGTTTGACGGGGAGATATTTGAAGCTTTGAACATACGTACTCTTAGTATCTCTTAGTATCTCTTAGTATCTCTTAGTATCTCTTAGTATCTCTTAGTATCTCTTACTGTACCAGCTTTGATGTGGAAGGTTTTGGATTGAGAACCAAGATTTGATGGAGACGGTAGAGTGGAATCATAATGAATCATAGATATTTTCCAGAAGAAATTTGCAACGAACTGAAATGAGCAGCGCTGGCTTCGCTTAGCTGATCAAGCCAGGAGCACCGCTCTGACTCCAGAAAGTCGCAAGAACTTCGAGCCCTGCTGAAACGCTGCAGGCTGGGTATCGAATTGGTATCGATGTGCATCCACATGTTGCAATTTCTCCCTCTGGGTTGGGGACATATTCAAGAAAAGTGTGAAAAGCATGCTCTGCGCGTGAACTGAAATGGCTCCCAATAGCCAGACGGTCACAGGTCAGATTAAAGGGGGACATTTTTTTACTAGTTGGGAGTGTTGACTCTGGATACTAGATTCATCCTGGCATCATTATATAAGCATTCAGCATCATTTAGCTATGTTTTCTGGCACCACTGTGATTGTTTGTTTGTTCTTCCGTTGTTTCTTCATTTTCTGCTTGTGCTTGATTTTCGGATCAGGAGCCCTGAAGGACTTGTGACAATGCTCAAGAACGCTTTGCACGGGTGCCAAGCTGTGCCAAGCTGTGCCAAGCTGTGCCAAGCTGTGCAAAGCTGTGCAGTGTATGGCAGCTCAGCTAGCCGCTAAGGTTCGAGGGGATTCGGGAGAGCAGCATCTTCGGAGCGGCGATGCAAACCTGCGGCTACAGGCTGGACACGGTTGGGTGTGAGGGGACGTGGTGGACGTGGTGGACACAGCACAGCCTTGGTTTTGCTGTCCAACTGTCCAGCCATCGTGCAGCCTGGCAGGTGTTGGTGGATGACTCTGCAGAAAGTTCGCGAACTCCAACTGCAGAACGCCATCAAATTTGACGCTGTGGCTACTTCAATTGGCCTAACAGCCATCACTTGGAATCTCAGGACAGATGCTGATCCTGCTGATTGGGAAAAAACGACTGTGAGAACTTGTGCCCCCTTAGACTAGAACTCAAGCCAGATGTCTGAACATACAAGATGGATCAAAGATGTAAGAATCCAAAACACATAGATGCGATCTGCAAAGAAGCTCATGCAGAGCTTGAGAACGCCCAGTGACATGTTGGGCAAACGTGCTCTATGAATTTCATTATATACTGTTGTGTCGATGTGTTTTTTGTGCTTCACGATGACATCTTCTAGATTCGTCTATACAGATCAGGTTTCTATTATGAATTTTGTGCCAGATGGTAGCTTCACAGTGGATGCTCAACTTGTTTTTTATTCAGGTTCATTGGCTTGATCAGGTTTTCATGCAGTTCTTTTTCCTGAACGAAAAGGCACTAAAAAGATGAACTAATTGTATCTAATTGTTCTGTCTTCTAAGGTTCGTATTTTCCATTTTTTTACTGTACATGCAACTCCTTGCGGGCGCTTTTTCCTTTCTAAGCAACTCCTTTCCTGATAAATCTGACCGGAGGAACGAGGGGCTATTTGATGTGCTTGAAGAACGAAAAGAGCCAGCACTGACCATGGCCAAGGAGTTGTGGCAGGAGGCTAGCCCGCAAGGGCTGCTATATGCTGCGACAATGTAGCTTCAAACTGTTTTAAAAGTTCTATATGATGTTCCAAGTAGCTATTCGGCTATTTGGCGGCACCCTGCTACTCAGAATGCATGTCAATACCGAAGCAGGATACAGTGCAGCAAACAAGACCCGAATCTCTATAAGGGCGGCTAAGCTGGTCAGCGGTTTTTTTCTTTTCGTTTTTTCGATCAGGTTCTCTGAATTCGCACTTTCACTATCTTTCACCTCTCTGCTCAGGGGGTGATCAACGCTGTGGTGCTCACCAGTGCATTGAAGCTGTGCACTCAATTGGAGTGCCCAGCTGCGTGGCAGTGGGGACAACAGCTTTGGCAAGAGACCGAGTCAGGACGGGCTGACGCACCTTTGGCACGGCAGCTGAGTTGAGGTTGACTCAAGGATGGTCTTTGTTGAAATGGATTGAAATGGGACAACTGTACAAATGCGGAAGATACACAATGATACGTGATACACAATGACACACACACACACACACATACTGTACCTAGACTGCGCCTGTAGGATTTCCTTTGAAATGACGCTGCCCGGATTGCAGGAATTGAGAAAAACTCGATTGTCTATTCGGCTTACATTACCATGCTGGAGATGCTTAGCCTCATAAAGTTCATAAAGAGAAGGGAAAAGGAGCTCTTGATTCTAAGCATGTCATCTCTATCCCTGCAAGACTTTAGATTATGCATTTCCATTCTCAATTTGGACAGTCATGTGCCTTAAAGGCATGGTTCTTGCATGGAACACCTCTCAGCATTCATCGTCCCATGCAAAAGGCCTATTTGTAGGCTGTAAGTTCACATGCGGTGAAGACTTATGATCGTGGGGCTGTCTGATCCGCTGGTCCGCTGGTCCGCTGATCCGCTGATCCGCTGATCCGCTGGTCCGCTGGTCCGCTGGTCCGCTGATCCGCTGATCCGCTGGTCCGCTGGTCCGCTGGTCCGCTGATCCGCTGGTCCGCTGGTCCGCTGATCCGCTGATCCGCTGGTCCGCTGGTCCGCTGGTCCGCTCCGCTGGTCCGCTGATCCGCTGATCCGCTGATCCGCTGGTCCGCTGATGGTCCGCTGGTCCGCTGGTCCGCTGATCCGCTGATCCGCTGGTCCGCTGGTCCGCTGATCCGCTGATCCGCTGGTCCGCTGATCCGCTGATCCGCTGGTCCGCTGGTCCGCTGATCCGCTGATCAGCTGATCCGCTCCCCTGTGCTGTTCAGCTGACCCGCTGATCGAGACTTAACAGCGCACTGAGGCCGCTTGTCATCAAAACAATCCGCAGCTTCAACCACGTTTTCCCATTGCTATCGACCATGGCCCCTGAAATGGGAGATCCCAACCACAAGTCGTAAGTCGGTTCCCCCGTTGTCCTTGCGCAAGTCTCGCACCTTAGATAATATCAGGTTACAGGCTCATAGTCAAGCCAAAAGCATGAAGCAGGAAGTATGCAGCACGAGCGATTGTGGGCGCCCTTCTTGGCCAACCCTTCCTGCAAGGCTTTCCGCCCAAGTCTTTTGCCACCAAGATGCACAAGAAGAAGGAGGGCTGGATGGCGAAGAAATGCCTAGACAAAGCAGGCAGGGAAGATGCATTGCATGGAAAATCTGAAAGGGCTGGGTCTCAACCTGTCTTGTGAAGATGGATGACAACAGAACAGGGGCCAGTTGTCAGCTGCAGGCAGCCGCTCTTTTAAACCCGACTTCTGTTGGCAGCTGGCACCATCCTACACGGGATCAATGCGCCCAAGCAGCTTGCCTCAGTCATCCACCCTGGCTCGCTTTGCACGGCGCTCTTCCTTCTTCTCAGCTGCTTTGTCCATAGCAGCAATCAACTCCCGCAGGCTTAGACGGCAAGCTCTCATGAGGTCGTTGTGGTACGCGACCTTGCCTGCTGCAGTGTCGGGAATCATTTTCAAACACAGAATCTCTCCGTCAAGGCGGAGCAAGTCGGGAAATTGGGAAGCTGCAGCCCTCATGACAGCAACCCATTTTTCTTTGGGAAGCGCTTTGCGTCCTTGCCCTCGTTCGAAGCGCATCTTGTCACAAGCCTCTTTCCTAGTGATCTTCGGTTTGCCAGCAAGAAGGGTCTGCTTCAAAACAGTTCTATCGGTGAAATTCCGGCTATGCAAGCCGTCAGGCTGGACAGTGACACCATTGTCTCCAAACCCAAAATCACTGGCTCGAACATCCTGCAGGGTCAAAGGTTTCACGGCTGCGCAAGGTTCTGGCTCCGGCAGTCCTGGATTGCCCACTGGTGCTGGCAGTTCTGGCACATGTTCCTCCGGCGACTCTTCTGCAGCCTCGTCACCTTCTTCGTCATCGCCCACCTCTGGAATACCTGCGCCAGCTTGGGTCGAAGCAAAGTCTTCAGGCACATAGGGGATGCGCAAGGCGCCCAAATCATCCGCACGGACGTCTTCCTGCGGCGGCGGTAGGTCTGGGCTGGCTGCTGCATCTCCAAGGGCAATGTGCTTCAGACGCTGCACCTGGTCTGCGACAATACGTCAGGCTGGATGGAACATGGGGAGCAAGGTGACGATCAGAACACTCAAAATAACGCGGCCAAGGAGCCAATTGAAGCAAGGCGTACGCCCGCTGCAAGTGCCCGGGTGTAACCTGCAAAGCTCGCCCCTCCAGCGCTGCAGGGGAGTGGGCGCCGACAAAGATTTCGAAGACCAGGAGCAAAGCAGCTAAAACCCCTACTTGCCAAGGCGCCGCCCCGAAGCGAGCCCCAGCTTGGATGTCTCCAGTATCACGAACCACGTGGCTTTGGACATTCATTGCTCCCTGGTAAGACAGATGCCATGACTCAGCCTCCGAAGTCAAAGTGATAACTTGGTGTGGCGCTGCGAAATAGGTGGCCACCCTAGCAATGCAATTTCTCAAACGGCACACCTCCGGGATTGCAAAGTTTCGGTTCGCTACCCTCCACTCTGCTTCAAAGCCGTTTGGGGCTGCCTCTGATCGCCTGAAGCGGATGCGGGTCAGCTTGTCATCTAAGAGCCTGACAAGGTAGCCGTCTTCCGACGGCACATACTCACCGGCAGCATTCTGGGTGAGTTGGGCCGCGGCTTCGTCTTCAAGCCCAGCTTCTGCCCATTCTTGGGCAGCTGCGTCTGGCGATGTTGCTTCTTTAGCAACCCCAATGAGGTCTGCAATCTCAGGAGTGAGGGGGACCCACCTGTATGGCGAGACTCCTGCACGCGTCTCAACTCAGAAAATCCACAAAGACTGACAGGCTCATGACAGTGTTTGTGCTTTACATGCCTTAATACCGAGAAGTGAGCGCTATATCCAGCATGTAACAGTGCAAGAATCGACCCCGTCCTTCCGGCAAGCAAAAGTCTGCGGGGATGTCCTCATGTGGTTGAACAGGGCGGCCAGTGGAGATGAGGAACCTTTCCTTGGTGGAGGCTGCGTGGCTTCCAAGCTCGCCCCGCTCCATTGGGATGTAGAAGGCCGGGTGCATGTTGCAAGTGATGCCCAAGCTTATGGTTTTACCAGGGTTCTCACCGTAGCTCCCTGCCGTCTTGGTGGCACGAGCACTAGACCCAAATTGCAAGAGCTTGTTGAACGCGCTCTGGTACGGGTTGACTTTGCTTTTTGATTTCTCTCTCGTTGTTGCATTTGAGTCGGACAACAGGCCAAGGCTCAGCAAGAAGTCGTAGGCTTCATCAAAGTTGCCTAGCAAGCCGTACCAGCAACGCCCAGACCAATCTCCTGGCAGCTTGTCTGCGTTGCGGACTTGGTTCCAGTCAGCAGAGCAACGGTGAAACCATTCTTCCGGTGTGGCGCTGGCAACAGTCGCAGAAGCGATTCTTGGCTTCAAATACCTGCAGCAGCGGGGTCACTTGTGTCTTTTGGTTCCTGGCAAAGATTTAGAAACACGTGAAAATTTAACACAAGGTTAGGAAACTGTTCACGCATGGTCAGCGGGGGGCAATTGGACTTTGAAAAGCCCCGCCTCAGGACTTGAGCCGCTCCCTCCTCAAAGCTTTCGTGCTGCAGCTTGGACATCGCATTCTCCAAGATGACTGTGTCCAACTCTTGCCCCAAAGCTTCTGCGTGTCCAGTCATGGAAGACTTTCTGGTCTGGGCATAGTTGACATTGACCGCTACCAAAGTCAGAGGCGACGGTGCTGTGGCAAAGATGGCGACCCGCGCGCCATTCGCCAAAGCACACATCAAAGAAAGACAATGCAAAGCGTAAGGAAATTCAGGATGCGCAGCTCTGACAGAATAGCTTTGGCAAAACTGGTGGCCGGCTTCTCCAAGGACATACTTGGGGTCAAAACGTCTGTCCACCTCATCCCACATCAGCTTCATGGCGGGCACGTACTGCCCATCGTCAGGAGCCCCGGACATGGCTCCGCACGAGAAGCTGCGAACTACCAAATTTGAACCAGGCTACCTAAAGCCGCACCACAATTCTAAAATCAACCTGATCTAGCAAAAGATGGTCACATGTTACAAGCACCACAGCCCGTTCTACGTACCTATGGCGCTCCCAAACTTCAAACCCTAAGCGTCCGAACATTTTTGGCTTGCTACGCAACATCCTCAGCATCCAAAGAGCCAGCTACCTCCTCCGGCCTGTAGCCTCCCTGCAAAATGATTTCGTTGTGGCTCCACGCCATGTCGAGCAAGAAGAACTGAAAACCGTATTCGTTCATGTGCTTGGTTTGGTGCTTGTATTTGCTGAGCCATGTGAAGGTGAACTCGCAAACTGAAGTCCTGACACCAGCGAGAAGAGCGGAGTTGGACGGGAGCTCCGGGTCACATGTTTGCTTGCACCAAGCATCCGTGTGGCCTGCCATGTGGAACTTGTCGCAGACAAAGGTCATGTGAGGTGGCGACAACTGCGCCGCAGCTTGAGAGTGCGCTGCTCGACGCGCGCAATACTTGTGCAAGTGGCACGCATCATCGTGCACCACTGTCGTCAGGGTCGGCAGCAAAGCTTTGACAGCAGCGACGTAGAAGTAGCGCTGGCTCAGAGACTCGCAGCCATAAATCTCTTGCATGTGCAAAATAAGGCCCTCGGACAAGCATACGCAAAGCATGCCCGCTGACTTGGCAAGTTGCCTCTGGGCAGTACTGCTTTCCTTGTGCGTTGAACATGCAACAGACGCTAAATCCGCTGGATCTGAACATTGCTCAAGCTCTGCCACGGGTTCAACCTGCGCCTGCAACAGCGGCGGTGCGGGAGAAGGCCCTGCAGTGTCTGAAGGTTGGGGTTCATGAGTACGCTTGCGAAGTTTCAGCTTCTCCGCCCCAACTTGCCGCAAGTACTTGCTCAAGACAGTGTCTGGCACGGCGGAATCCAAGACCCAAGCCTCCCTGCGAGGTTCGGTCGTTTCCTGGAGCAAAACCATCAGTTGCTGCCCATCATTGATAGACTTGTGTTGTAGAATCTCAACATCCTGCAAACGCGAGCACAGACCCAAGCACCGACGCTGAAGCCCTGGGGTTTTAATTCAAAAAAGTAGCCCACGGAAGGAGAAGGCAAACAAAACTGAAAATGTTTGAGGATTCGAGCCAAGACACTGTGTGAGAACGATCTGCGCCAGGAGCTTCACAATGGTGCAAGCAAAAGCAATGCTTGAAAGCAGGCGTTTTTGTGCAGGTGTGGCGCAAAGTTCTGCGGAGGGTTGGAGAGTAAGAACATCCCGCCAGCGCAGCGGCGCAGACTGCCCTCCGGTTCTTTGCATTGCCATCTAAAACAATAACATCGCACCGCATTTTGGCACGCTGAGCACCTTCCACGGCCTTCCGGCTGAATGCTGCTTGCAATGGACCCAAGAACCTGCACGCCGTGTCCTCCATGGGAGATTGAAAATCTACCACAGACAAATCCAAGCCGGCTTCAAGCCCACGCGTCAGCAAGCGCCAGGTGAACCATCCCTGGCTGATCAGCAGCCGCAAGCGTGAAGTGGGGAGACGATGCAGCTGCGAATTGGTGGCAGCTTGCGCCGTCAGTACGTCGGCTTCACTCGTGAATGATGCGTGCTGACGCACCAAACGCAGGTGGAACTGGCGCAGCCAAGGGATACTAAAACCAAAGCTCGAGGATAGCATGAAACATTGCAAGAGTGGCAGCTCTCCCTGGAACACATGCTTGCCTTTGCGTACGCAGTAGTTGTACCAAAGAAGCACCCCAAACTCCGGGCATGAAGGCTTTCTACACCGCAGTGGAACATGCAGCTTTTCAGCGACTCCACAAAGGTCTATCACTGCCGCAGGCGTGGCAGAACCTCTGCATTCAGCTAGCCGGGTTTTGCACGCAGAACAGCTCCGAGGCAAGGGGAGCAACTCTTGGGCACAAGTTTCTCTACCGTAGGCAGCAACTCTGGTCGAGAAGAGAGGTTGCAGCTCAGCTGCCAGATGCACAACCAAACCATCTGAAATCTGCGCAGCCGGGTCTGCATTTCGTATGGCTTCAGCAATCAGAGCTTGGCTAAACCCGTGCGCCATGAAAAGGAAGAGTCGCAGGCGGGAGAGAAGGTCTTGGGCTCTGCAGTTGCGTGGTTTGTTTCTGGTTGCTCTTCTCAGCCTTGCGGCGAAATGTATGGACTGTCTTAGTGTGATACGTTTGCGCATGGTCATGGTTCTCTCTCCTGTTTGAAAATAAAGGCACAGCAGGGGCACAAGCTGCGAACTCTTTCCGTGATCACTGGTCATGTCACGTGGTGCAAGTGTCAGAAATCAAGCTGCAAAACCACCACTGACACCACAAAACCCGGAGCAGGGGCGGCGGCCTTGTCAAAGCGGAAGGCATTCTACGTGTACAGAAGGTGCTTGCAGGAGACACCTTTTCATGGCAGGCAAAGGTCACTGAGCAAGATTGCCGATATATACATGTTGAAAAGTTGAAAAGTACGTCCGTGATCGCTGGTCATGTCACGTGGTGCAAGTGTCAGAAATCAAGCTGCAAAACCACCACTGACACCACAAAACCCGGAGCAGGGGCGGCGGCCTTGTGAAAGCGGAAGGCATGCTACTTGTACAGAAGGTGCTTGCAGGAGAGACCTTTTCCTGGCAGGCAAAGGTCACTGAGCAAGATTGCCTTTGTAGATATAGACAGGTTGAAAAGTACGTTCTAGAACTTTGCTTTGATCCGCTGATCTGCTGGTGCGCTGATCCGCTGATCCGCTGATCCGCTGGTCCGCTGATCCGCTGGTCCGCTGGTCCGCTGGTCCGCTGATCCGCTGATCCGCTGATCCGCTGGTCCGCTGGCCGCTGATCGGCTGATCCGCTGATCCGGTGATCCGCTGATCCGCTGGTCCGCTGGCCCGCTGATCCGCTGATCCGCTGATCCGCTGATCCGCTGGTCCGCTGGTCCGCTGGTCCGCTGGTCCGCTGGTCCGCTGATCCGCTGATCCGCTGATCCGCTGGTCCGCTGATCCGCTGATCCGCTGATCCGCTGATCCGCTGATCCGCTGATCCGCTGGTCCGCTGGTCCGCTGATCCGCTGATCCGCTGATCCGCTGGTCCGCTGATCCGCTGATCCGCTGATCCGCTGATCCGCTGATCCGCTGATCCGCTGATCCGCTGGCCCAGACGATATGGCGATCATGAGTGGTGGTGAATGAAACATCGTGATATAGTAACGTGAAATGGTATTTAAAAAACTATAATCACAATGGCAAGCTACAGCAAGTTGCAGCAAGCTGATGGCTGGATTCACTAAGGAGATACGGAGACTTCTCGGAGGTGGACCGTTTGTTGGACTTTGACGAGCACTTGAGTCCAGTTCTGCTAGGAGCTTTGGTGGACCTGGCGGGACACCGGCACGATCCAGCTCGGGCTGATGCGATTTGGAAGAAGATGGTTGTGCAAAAGCGAGCTGCTTGGCCTGGAATTTGAGTCTGGTCAGAGAGACTTTCAGGAATTTCGGACTTGAGACCCTTCTTGGGATGGCAATGTGCCAATATGTGCCATACAGTACATACAAGTCAAACATGTCAAACACTCATCCATTGTCAGGTCAAGCCCATTGAATCATCCTACAACGCCTATGCCCGAGCATATCTCGTATCTGGTGATCCTGAGGCGAATGACAAGCTTTCTCGCTCAAGTTTCCAGTCACGGTAGAACTACATAGAAATTCATATAGAAATTCATAGAATGGGACGGTACGCTTTCAAAACATATCAACAGAAGTATATAATGGTGCTTTGAAAGATCGCTTCACTCACTTGCATGTACTTGTTGCAAACTTCTGCTAGTCTTGAGATGTCTTGAGATGTCTTGAGGTCTCGTTGATTTTTTTTCCAGACTCATGAGTCCAGGGAGGGGAGCTGCCTGCGCCAGATGGCCATTGCCAAGATGGAGGAGATGTTTGTGCGAAGGGTTGGGCAATTCACCTGGATCAATGCCAAGGACCATGCACAGGTACCCGCGGGCACCCGTTGACTTTCCAGAGATACCTTTCGGTGTGACATGACATGCCCAAGTAATTTGGCCGGTGGCAGCAATGGCAGGCTCTTCTGATCCTGTATCATTCAATGCCAACGGAAGACAACAAGGACAGCCCGTCGATATTCATTGATCATACTGATCGATCTGACCGTTTATAAATTGAAAGAGGTCTTCAGCGGCCATCCTCGTGTGAATTTGATCCAAGGGCGCAAGGAAGCCAACAAGACTAGGCCCTTTAGATCTCTGGCCATACTACTTTTTTGGGTCCCGGTGACCTTTGCAATACAGACATTGGCAAACCTAACAGAACCTAATCATTCAAAATCAAAGCCCGAGTGAGCTCGAGCTTTGATTTGCTTTCTGCATCTTTCTGCTAGTTCTGGGTCTTTCTGGTACGACATCAGGAACGGCTGCAGCGCTTTCTGCGCAGTTCTCAAGTGATCTTCAGTGGTGGTGGGCAGCGCCTGTCTGCTGCGCCGAAGACAGCTGTAGAGGAGATCGCACAGCGTTCACTGTTGTATGCAGCATGTATGCTCTGCCTGAAGTGTTGTATATTGGAATGAATCTCAAAGATCCCCAAGACCAGGGACAGCTGCCTGAAACTGTGACAAGTGGATGTTGCTTCTTTCCAGTGCAGCTTGATCAGCTTGGCTTCAGTGCAAGTAGCCCGCCGTTGAACAGCCAACATGGAAGTCGTATCAAGTCGTGCAATACCATTGTGTCATTGGAGGAGTGGCAAAAGCTTCGTGCTGGAGCACAGGATCTGCTGCGCCGCTCCTCACAGGAATCAAACGTCCCGAATACGCCGCATATGCCCCACTTGCATGATATTCTCTTGACGTTTCTTGGAAGTGAATGAGACATAGTGAGACAACACCTTGATTGGAATGAATGCTTTGTGCATTATTTTTTTTACCTAGTGCCCGGCACGCGCCGGGGCGGAAGTTTCGCACATAGGAAATATCTATAGGAAATCCATGGCCTATAGGAACGTTTTTGAGATGCAGAAACCATGAGCGGTTGAAGTTGTGAGGTGCATCAACGAATGAGTAAATGGTGGTTGAGATGCCAGTGAAATGACATGAAAGAATCCGAGCACAACTGAGTGACCAGTGGACCAGTGAACCGATGAATCAACGAATCAATGAATCGATGATTCAATGAACCAATGAATCAGTGAATCGAGGCTTCAGTGAAACAATGAAGCAATGAATCAATGCATGAATGATTTCGTGAATCGATGAATCAATGAACCAGTGAATCAATGAATGGATGAAGTAGTGAGTAGATGAATCAATGAACCAACAATGACTCAGTGAGCCAATGAAGCAGTGAACACATGAATGAATAGATGGACCAGTGACTGAATGAATCAATGCACGAGTGAACTAGTGACAGTGAGAAGATAATCAGTGAGTCAGTGACTGAGTGAATGAGTCAGTGAGTCGATGAATCAATGAATCAATTCAATGAACCAATGAACCAATGAATCAGTGGGTCCATGAATCCATGAAGCCATGAATCAATGAACCAATGAATGAAGGGGTGGATGGATGGATGGATGGATGGATGGATGGATGAATGAATGGAGGGATGGATGGATGTGCGAGCTACTTTTCTTTGTTGAGTTACTTCTTCACTGAGCGACCTCTTCGCTGAGGCACTCTTCTCTCAGCTACTTCTTCTCCGAGCAGCCACTTATCTGGGCTACTTCTGCTCTGAGCTGCCTCCCAACTGGCTCGTTTGATCCTCTCTTCGCGCAGCTGTTGCAATGCGTTTAGCAGCCTGCAGCTGGAATACGGAATAGCACAAGAGTAGCACTATGGTCAAGAAGTACCTTTGGACCTTTGGGGCACTGTTACAATTTGATTAGCAACCTCCAGTTGCAATTTCGCTTGCCAGGAGCGTCGCGGCATCACTCATGCTTTGCCGCGCGCAGCAGTGCCAATGGCTGCTGTCAGACAAGGTAGCAAACCCGCATAGCAGGAGCGTCGCGCTGAATCGACCAACGTTCGCCCAGCGCTGGCAATGCGAACGATTCCGCGCTACTCCGGGCATGGTGTTTTTTTCTGCAATTTTATGTGAAATCGAAGTCTCGCTGTTCACTACAGTCTGGTGCACATTTTGCCGACCTCATTTCAAAAATGCTCCGAACATGCCAGTTTTTGCCGATTTTTTGTGAAATCGAGCTCTCACTACACTCCAGGGTGGGATCGGTTCGGTTCGGTTTCGTTTTCCAGGAACTGGTGAATTTCCGGTTCCCGGTTCGGTTCGGTTCCTGGTGATATAATCAAAAAAACGGTTCGGTTCGGTTCGGTTCGGTTTAGGTTCCTAACCGGTTTGGTTTCCGGTTCCTAACCGGTTCGGAGTAAGTCATGGTCTTGGTATTTGCTTTTTACGGCCTTTCAAAAAAAACAAAACATGTTCCCAGTTAGTTGGTTGGTTGGTATGATTCATGTCAAGGACACGTTGCGTCAGGTGGAAGAGGAACGCCAGGCCAGGACCTGGTCATAGAGGCTGTTTTCGTTTTTTTTAGGCCGCCAAAAAAGCAAATCCAACACGAGAGCACAAGGGTTGTGCTTGTGCTTTGCATAAGGGCTGTGTTTTTTCTTTTTTGTGGCTTTCGAAAAAACAAATCCAATACGAGGGCACAAGTTTTTTTTTGCTGTTTTGGGGCTGCCAAAAAAGCAAATCCAATAGGAGGGCACAAGGGTTGTGTTTTTGTTTTTTTGGGGTTGCCAAAAAAGCAAATCCAATAGGAGGGCAGAAATTAAAGGGAACGCCTGATTGAGAGAAAAAAAACAGAGCACATGCCGGCGGTTCGCCTCCGGTTCCTCCCTCCGGTTCGTCCGGTTCGGGAGCTTATTACGAAAGCCAGCAGTCAAGCATGGCGAAGTTGCTCATTGCGAACGAAGTGAGAATAGGGTCTGGGGGGTGGTCGTCTCCAAACAGACAATTTTGAGGCACTTCCCCACCTAATTAGGGTGGCCATGGTGATCGATTTTGAGGCTGATGTACCAGGTGGCAATTGGGTGACGGTGGGGTTCGATTCCCCCCTGGTCCGTCCTCCGACGTGCATTTGGGGTGAGTGGAATGGAGGGTAAAGGGATGCAAAAATGGAGTCAAAGCATAACAGAACAATGGAAAAACTTGGAAAGAGTAATGGAAGAAGAGAGGGAATGGGAGGAAAAAATAAAAGGGACGGATTGGAGTTTCGGGGCGGGGTGTACGATGGGGGGAAGGTTGGAGGGACAAGAGCGTGGCTTGGGCGGGCTCTTTGGGGCGAGGCTTTATTGGGTGGCTGCTGGGAAGCAAAGGAGCCCACATAGTGAAGGTTGCCAATGGCTGCTGATGTTTGGGGGGAGGTGCGTGGCTGGCGGTGCACATGGTTAGATTGGAGGGAAGAAAGGGCGTGGCTTGGGCAGGCAATGTGGAGTGAGGCTCTTTTAGGTAGCTGCTGGGAAGCAAAGGAGCCCGCAGGGTGAAGGTGGCAGATGGGTGCTGATGCCTGGCGGTGGGAGAGGAGTGTAAAGTGTAAAGTGGAAGGTATGGAGTGTAGAGTGAAGAGCGTTGAGTGTATAACGTGTAGTGTGTACAGTGTAGAGTGTGGAGTGTAAAGTGTAGAGTGTAGAGTGTAGTGTGTAAAGTGTAGAGTGTGGAGTGGAGTGTAAAGTCTAAAGTGGAAAGTGTAAAGTGTAGAATGTAAAGTGTAGAGTGTGGAGCGTAAAGTGTAGAGTGTGGAGTGTGGAGTGTACAGTGTGGAGTATGGAGTGTAAAGTGTAAAGTGTAAAGTGTGGAGTGTAGAGTGTAAAGTGTAGAGTGTGAAGTGTAGAGTGTGGAGTGTAAAGTATGGAGTGTGGAGTGTAAAGTGTGCAGTAAGGAGTGAGGAGTGTAACGTGTAACGTATAAAGTATGGCGTGTAGAGTGAAGAGTGTAAAGTGTAAAGTGCAGTGTGTAAAGTGTAGAGTGTGCGGTGTGGAGTGTAAAGTGTAGAGTGTAAACTCTAGTGTGTAAAGTGTGGAGTGTGGAGTCTGGAGTGTAGAGTGTAAAGTGTAGAGTGTAAAGTGTAGAGCGTGGAGTGTAAAGTGTGGAGTGTAAAGTGTGGAGTGTGGAGTGTAAGGTGTGCAGTGAGGAATGAGGAGTGTAAAGTGTAAAGTATGGAGCGTAGAGTGAAGAGCGTAGAGTGTAAAGTGTAGTGTGTAAAGTGTAGAGTGTGGAGTGTGGAGTGTCAAGTGTAGTGTATAACGCGTGGTGTGTAAAGTGTAGAGTGTGGGGTGTATAGTGTGGAGCGTAAAGTGTAGAGGCCACTGGCGTTCCGTTGGTGGGTGGCCGCGCAGAGCGAAGACAAGTTGTGGAATCCCGGAGGTTGTGGGGCCGTCCACATGGAACCAGGGGACGCTCCAAGTCCCGCCTGACGGACTGTGTCTCTTCTACTGTTTTTTGGCAGCCCAAGCCCCAAGCTGGTGGCAAGGACAACGAAGGGACTACTTAGGTTTTTTCAAAGCGAAAAAAGTAGAGGACAAGTACAAGGCAGCCGCGCAGAAGCTCCGAGCCAAAGCCGTCCAGGCCCTGAAGGACGACGGCAAGCAAGAGCTAGGCCAGCATCTGAATGCCGGCCGGAATCCAGGACACGAGGAGCTGGTGTTCTGCGCCAAGTCCTTTGGGTGCGCCATTCTGGTGCTACCAGAGGATGCGGACTCGCCACCCTACGTGTTTGGTGAGGGCCCCGTGGGTTTTGCCGTGAACTACGGCCTGAGCCTTGACGGGGAAGGAAGCGGCGCAGGGCACTATACCCTGCTTCGAAGCTGGCTTCCGAGAAAGCAAGCAACTCAGTATCACACACACACACCTTTGCCAGTTTCTTGAGGTGCTGTTGCACATCTCATTCATACAATGATCGAGTATGTTTCTTGAATTTCCTGCGATATTGATACTATATATAAAGACGAAAACGACCATGAATAAATGTCCCTCAAATTCTTCGCGCGCAATGAAAGCTTAAAGTCATAATGTGCTATAAGCTCTCGCGTGGACCGAATTATTTCCAGGAGGATTCTCCTGGGTTTCAATCTCTGGGGCGGGGAACAAAGGCAGGAAAATGCATGGCGGGGATAGCCGGAACACTGCTGGAAAGTTGCTCGTGCCTTACCGAAATTCCTTGTTGTAACCTGGCTGAAACTCTCCTGGTACTGTGCCAGAACTCGGCTGCAACCTGGCTGAAACTGTGCTCGAATTGTGCTGGAACCTCGCTGAAACTCTGTTGAAACCTTGCTGCAACCCCTTGCTGCATTCCCTCGAAGGCAGGAGCCTTGCTGGAACCTGGCTGAAACCCTTGGTTTTTGTTCCTGAACTTGCAGCATGTCCTCTTTTTGCGGTGCCATCCGTCTTTGCTTATTGTGTCTTGCTTTGGCTACTGTGCCGGGCTGGTATTTTGGGCATCTGGCTGCAACTTTACGGACCAATTTTGCAAACTTGCCGGAAACTATACGAAGAAAGGTCTGGATTTTCTCCGGCTTTTGTTCCCCACATTGACGTGTGGGGTTTTTGTTTTTAGTTCTGTGTCCGCGCCTCCTCCTTCCCGTCCTCCTCCTTCACTCACTCACTCACTCACTCCCTCCCTCCCTCACTCACTCACTCACTCACTCACTCACACGCACTCCCTCCCTCCCTCCCTCCCTCCCTCACTCACTCACTCACTCACTCACTCATTCACTCTCTCTCTCTCACTCTCACTCTCACTCTCACTCTCACTCTCACTCTCACTCTCACTCTCACTCTCACACTCACACTCACGCTCACGCTCACGCTCACACTCACACTCACACTCCCACTCCCACTCC